TGTTCCGTCCGTCCGTCCTGCTGTGGAAGGAAATCAGGACTGGGCTGGAGCTGTTGGTGATGTTGGGAAGATCGCTGCATCTGGTTGTTATTGCTGGACACCACTCTGTGGCTGAGAACAGCATTCAGTTTTGCTCTTGTGGGCCTGGCTGATCTAGTCTGGGTCTGGGTGGGCAGCTTCCATGATGTGGAAGGTGGGGGATGACTCCATGCCATGTACCTCTCTCAAGTGTTTTTTTCAGATGATGGAAAAGATTCAAGAGGGCAGACTGAGAAATACGTGAGGTCTTAGGGTTGGAGAGATGGCTCAGTGGTTAACAGCACTCGCTGTTCTTCCAAAGGACTTGAGTTCCATTCACAGAACCTTCATGGTGGCTCCAACCATTTCTTACTCCAGTTCCAGGGGATCCAGTGCCCTCTTCTGGCTTCCATGGGCACTGGTCATGCATGTAGTGCACAGATAAACATGCAGGTGAAAAACCCATACACATACATAATGAAATATGTGAGACCTCATAAAGCCCAAACTCAGAACTCAGTGTCTCTGTCACCCTCTGCCATTGGCCAGCAGAAGTCACCAATAGTCCTGGAATAAAAATAGTGCCTGCATGAGATCCTGACACTGGAATACATGAAGGCAGGAGCGACAACCTGGTACGATCTATGATAAATGCCTCACGATTATATCATGTGTTGACTATTGTTTTAGTTAAGGTTTTTTTTTTCTTTATTTTTCTTTCATACAATACATCCTGATTGTAGACAAAAATTTCTCTGGTCCTGCCTTGCCCAGCAGTCCAGACGAATCTCTCCCACCCACGGTCCCACAGCCACTTATAAAATAATTACTCAGAGGCTTATATTAATTGCAAACTGTATAGCCTATGGCATCAGCTTCTTGCTAGCTAGCTCTTTCATCTTAAACTAATCCATTTCTATAAACCTATACGTTGCCACGTGACCGTGGCATTACCAGTCTGCTGATATCTTGTTCCTCCTTGAACAGCAGGCTCCCATCTCCCGACTCCGCCCTTCCTCTCTCTGTATCTCTAATTGGATTTCCCACCTGGCTGTAAGCTTTCTTGCCATAGGCCAAAGCCGCTTTGTTTATTATCCAATGGGAGCCGCGCATATTCACAGCATACAGAAAGACCTCCCACAGCACCTGATTGCAGCCTCCCCTCCCTCCGCTCCTCCCAGTCTCCACCACCACCTCCTCTCCTCCTCAGATCCACTGTTCCTCCATTTCCCTTCAGAAAAGAGCAGCCAGGGATAGCAACTGAACACAGCATAACAAGATGCAATCAGACTAGGCACAAACCTTCATATCCAGGCTGGACAAGGCAACCCAGTAGGAGGGAAAGGGTCCGAAGAGCAGGCAAAGGAGTCAGAGACACCCCCACTCCCACTATTAGGAATCTCTCTCACACACACAATAAATCCCTCCAAGCTAACAACCATGACGTATATGCAGAGGACCTAGTGCGGACCCACAAAGGTTCAGTGATTGCTGATTCAGTCCCTGTGAGTGAGCCCCTATGAGCCCTGCTTCGTTGATTCTGTGGGCTGTGTTCTCCTGGTGTCCTTGACCCCTCTAGCGTCCACAGTCCTTCCTCCCCTTCTGTGGAGTTTCTTGAGCTCCACCTAATGTTTGGCTGTGAGTCTCTGAATCTGCTCCCATCAGCTACAGGAAACGACTCTCTGATGACAATTGGTTTAGGCACCCACCTATGAGTATATATCAAAATATCATTAGGAGTCATTTCACTGAATTTTTTTCCTCCAGTTATGTTTGGTGCTACTCTAGGGCTCTGGGCCATCCAGTTTCCAATTCTGGCCATCCAGGCAGTGTTGGTCATGGGCTCCCTCTTGTGGCTTGGACCTCAAGTTAAACCAGTCATTGGCTGGCCACACCAACAAGCTCTGAGCCACCATTGTCCAAGCACATCTTGTACACAGGGCAGGCTGTAGGTTCAAAGTTTTGTGGCTGGGTTGATGTCCCAGTCCCACCACTGGGAGCCTTGCCTGGTTACAGAAGATGGTCAGTTCAGCCTCCATAGCCTCCATTGTTAGGAGTCTTCACTGGAGTCACCCTCATAGGTTCCAGGATGTTTCCACTGCACTAGGTTTCCATTAGTTAAGGTTTCTATTGCTGTGATAAGGTACCATGAACAAGAGGAACTGGGGGGGGGGATGTTATTTCAGTTTACACTCAGATCACACTCCATCACTGGGGGAAGTCAGGGCCAGAGCTCAAGGTTGGAACCTGGAAGCAGAAACTAAAGCAGAGGGGCCATGGAGGGGTGCTGCTCACTGGCTTGCCCCTCATGGTTTTATTCAGCCTGCTTTGTTATACAACCCAGGACCACCTGCCCAGGGGTGGTACTGCCCACAGTGAGCTAGGTCCTCCCACACTGATCATCAATCAAGAAAATACTCAATAGATTTGCCTATAGGACAATCTTATGGAAGCATTTTCTCAATCGAGAGTCCCTCTTCCCAAATGACTCTAGCTTGTGTCAAGTTGACATAAAACTAACCAGGATAACAATTATTATTTTTTTATGAGAGAGAACTTCAATTTTTCAGAGCAATTAAAATATGACAAAACTTAAAACTAACAGCTTCATATGGAAGAATGCCGCTCTCGATTTCTTTACATGCCCACCTTCTACAAGGCAGAGGAGAAGCCCACAGTTGGGGGAGATCAAGTGTAAAGGTCTGTTTATTCCTTCAAATCCACGTTGCTTACACTTTCCGTGGGCATTTTTGAATATCCAGTTCCAGCTCTCTATCCCCCTCTCTGTGGCAACCAGCCTCCTAAAAATCTTGGCACCTTCATGTTCTTTCTTCTTCTTCTTGAAACTAATTCTGCAGAGAGGATCCAGCCCACTCACCCCAGTGGGGAGTAAGCGTAGGAGCAGGATTAAAACCTAGGCATCTCTAGGAGCATCTGCACTGGAACATGAGGGGAGAGAGCGATACTTCCAGAAGGGAGACAACTAGCATGCAGAAAGTAGAATAGAGAAGGACCGAGGAACTGCCCCAGATACCTCAAAATCACATTCCCTGGGACATCACCTTCTTCCTAGACACGCTGCCTCCTGGGGTTCATCAGCAAGGGCAGAGTTTTCATGACTAGCTAAGAACATAGGTTAACATAAATGTAATATTGAAAAAGATGCCACAGCAAATCAAGTGGATATAATTAATTTTACAGGGTCATGGCTCTGATTCCATCTCAGAGTCACTGTCTGTGAGAAACAAGTGAATGCAGAGAGCAGGCAGTAGGCAGGAGCTTTCTGAACTGTGTCAAGGTTAATAATAAGTAAAATGTTGTAAGTAGAGGCGAGACAGTAACAGCTGTGCAACATTCTTGGAAGCAAGGACATTGATAGCATGAGGACAGTGAGCTTGCTTTTTGCTGCTTCTCTGGGTGTGACCAGACAGGGCTCACGGCAATTGGAGAGGAAACACCATTTATTGTATAAATTACAATCATTCCCACATAAAATCGAATGTCTACAGCTGGAAAATCAGGGGCATGCGGGATCATGTTGGAAGAAGACCCAGAGCAAGCCTATGAGAATGTCCTGGCTGAGATACAGTCCTTTGAGCTGCCCATTGAAGCTACTTTAAGGTAGGATGCCTTTATATTTTGAAGTTTATTTATTTTAACTTCCCTTCTTTCTTTTCCGTTTTGTTTTTTTTAGTATCCTGAGACAGTCTCACTCTGTAGCCTAAGCTGGCCTCAAACTCACAGCGATCCTTCTGCCTCAGCCTCCTGATTCCTAGGATTACAAACGGGCACGACTCGGCTTTACATTCTATTAGTGTCTCTAAAATGGTCTGCGTAAACCTTCATTGCATACTCCGCCCCCTCTTTCTTTTTGTTTTGAGTTTTTGAGACAGGGTTTCTCTGTGTAATAGCCCTGGCTGTCCTGGAACTCGCTTTGTATTTTAGGCTGGCCTCTAACTCACAAAGATCCACCTGCCTCTGCCTCCCGAGTGCTGGGATTAAACATGTGTCGCCACTACACTCAACTTCTTGTATACTTTTTTAAAAAAATAACAGAATAAAAATACTTTTGAAAAACAATCATAGCTCTCTACATGTTTAATATCAAAGTTTTCATATCCTTTGAGATAGTGTAAGAATTAATCTACCTTTTCTTTGTAGTGTGTTCGTTCCCTAACCCACATCCATCAAACTGAAAATGTAAGACTTTTAAGTGATCAAAAGGGACCCAATACCATCTCCTAATAGATACTCCATTTCCATTCAATTGTTTTCTCTAAAATATCTCAGTGAAAAAAGGACAAGAAAAATTAGACCTATCGTCAGAACCGGTTTACATTTCGGTGGGTCTGAGTCACAGAACAGCACAGTAGAAACCTTATTTGTATTGTTCTCTTGAGTGGCCTCTTAGCTAAATGCTTTTTATTTCCATGTGAGACCTAAAAATAGCCTCTTTGGTAATGTGGGCAGTCACTTGCACAGTCCAAGCCTGGGATTAAAATGAAAAACCCTGTGTCTCTGTGTTAAAAGGGTAGCCTTAAACATTTTATCATCTCTGACTGTCTGCCTGTATATGACACTTATCAGTGTGGGAACAAGATGCAGATTGCCGCATGTGACAGACAGTCAATAAATGTTTGTTGACTAATGTTTATAGAGTAAATGAGAGAATGTTTTTAATGTCTGTTCTTTATTCTCAGAAAATCTACTACTTAAGCTTGCATACATTTCTGCTGTATGTTTACATTTTATTTTGCACTACATAGTTTGAATCTCTTTAAAGAGAAAATTATTGGGTCTTCCTGCCTGGTTCTTGGATTGGCAGCATATAGTTGTAGATGCAAAAGGACTTTCTCCGTGTGAGTCATACTGTGGACTGTACCAGCCAGTGCCTGCTGAAATGTGTGCCTTTGCTCGGTGGCTGGTTTAGAAGGCTAACGTGAAACAAGACAGAGCCAAGGCCCCTGAACATATTCAATTACCGTGATCTCTGCTGTCAATGCTGCTCAGAGTCCTTGACCTCCAACCCCTGGTCCTGTTCACTTCCTCTCTAGTATCACAGTCCTGGGCCAAATCTCCAGACTGTGATCAACCTTGTGAGACAAAAGAAAGTAGGCAGTCAAGAGAAAATGTCATTATTTCAATGAAAGGAGGAAGCAAGTCTCACCGTGGTGGCAGATGCCTATAACTCCAGCACTCAGGGGGCTAAGCCTAGAGGGTCACAAGTTCCAGGTCAGTCTGAGCTACATAGTGAGACCCTGTCTCAAAAAAACAAAAAGAAAAAAAAACAGCAAACAAACAAAAAACACCTAGAAATAATAACAATAAAAAACACCCGAAAACTCAAAACAAATGAAAAAAAAAATCAAACACACAAGAGAGGCAGGCAAAACTGTTTTCAAATGACAAGCTCTAAAGGCAGAGAGGAAGGATTTACAGAAGTAGACTGCCTCGAAGACACAAAAAGGTCTTTCTGTGAGTTCTGAAGGGTTAGGACACTGAGATGATCGGGCTAGGAATCCATGACACCTTCCCAGGGAAATCCCTGTGCATGGGAATTGAGGCAGGGGAGTACCCGAGAGTCCTATTCACTTTCCCTACCATGGGGCAGAGAAAGCACTCTCAGCCAACATCCTGAACTCTATCACCGTCCTCTCCCTGCCTACTCCATTTTTTCAGGCAGGAATTTGAGGTGCCCTGGTGGAGAGCAGTGTAACGATCAGGGGCCAGGTGGGATTTGAGACCTCAGTGGCTTGGAGCTCACATGATGAATGTCGCTTAAGGATGACTCAGTTGCTCTTCTTCGCAAAGCAAGCGAACATTCCTGGCACATTTGCTTCTCCCACCTCATCACAGGGGAGGATGAGCCTGGTCTATCTGGAGTCATGAGTGGGTCCTTGAGAGCAGGAAACACGCAGGCGGGAACCACAGATGACCCGGGGTCCCTTGCGCCCTGCTAAGCCTGTATTCCTCTCACTTCTTGATTTCAAGCTGTTCCCAGAGCAAGCTACTCCCCTTCCTGCTGCCCTCAATAGCCCCCCCCCCCCCCGGGCCAGCATCTTGGCTTCCTTTCTTGGAGGAATAGCCAAGAACCACACAGTCCTGAGGCCCTGTGTTAATTTTCATTCTGTGCGTGAAATATGGTACCCTTGGCTGCTGTAGTGTTGGACGGAGAGAGAGAGTTTGGGAGCTGAGACACTATGTATGCTATCCCAGGATTTTAATTATCTATGAAACAACCATGAAAGCTGTACAAATTGCGTTGGACAATAACCTTCCAGGGTGGGAAAGCAGAATCTAGTGTTAGCCACTGTGGCCGTTAGTTGTCATTCCGTCAACTTGACGGAATGGAGAGTCACCCGGGAAGGGAGGCTCAGTAAAGGGGCGAGCTAGATGAGCGTGCGCTGTCTGTCTGTGGACGACTGTCTCGACTGCCTTAACCGATGCAGAATGTACCCAGCCTTAAAGCATGTGGTTCCATCCCCTGGTTCGGGGCCCTGGACTCTATCAGAATGAAGAAAGCTGGCTGAGCTCTCGGCATTCATACATCATTTCTCTTGCCTCTTGCCTGTGGGCTTGGCTAGCCGCTTCAAGCTCCTGCCACTCTATCCAATATGATCCACTGTAGCTTGGAATTGTAAGCTAAGGGAGTCCCTTCCTCCCAGGGGTGTGTTTTTGGCCAAGGCATTTTATCACTGCATCAGAACCCAAGCTACAACATCCACGGGGATGGTGACTGGAGAGAAAAGGAAAAGCCGCTGCCACGCAGGCATGGTCCTAACACAGCTTCCATACTGAGCATCTCCTCGTGGGCAGTAGTAATACTGGCAGAGTGCAGCTCACCACCGGTGGGGCCTCGAACTGGTTTTGTGGTGGGCACACTTTTTGCACTCTGCAGCACCACACCCTTACTTATATCCACAGGATGTTTTCATTGTGTTCAGGTGCCTTGATTTTTACTCCTGTTCCTCTATTTGGCTTAGACCCACCTGGTTTCCTGCCAGCTCCTCCCTCTAGGGGACATGACCCCCTGCCCACAGGAGGCCCAATGGCTGTCCTTAGTACCTGTTTTTCTAGGCCTTCATCACCTCCTCGAGCAAGGAAGGTCAATAGATTTCAACTAGTATATATCATTTGTGCCAACGGTTGCCTGAATCACCTTGGGGGGAATCCTAACGGACTAGTGACGGCAGCAACCGTTTTAGGAGAGGGCAATCGCAGTGTTTGCACATCTATTTACCATATTCACACCAGAACTTCCTGACACTAGGCCTCAACCCCTAGACACGCCCTGCGTGGCCGGATGTTGCCTGGGGTTCCTTAAATCTCCTGAGGTCTTGCAGGTGTGGTCTCAGCTCTTTAGTGCAGGCCCTGAAAATAGGTCTGAACCGATTTGGTTCAGAAGTCAACCTACGTTTGTCGCTGGAACAGAGTCTCCCCGATAAGAAAGTCAGGACAGACTGTGGGCGCTGCAAAGTCCGTGGGAGGCGGAGGGGTGGAGGTGGGGCACAGCCACCAAAGGGAGGCCTGCAGAAGGCTGGGACAAAATAGGAGGAAAAGGGAATTGTACGGGATGACGTACCAGAAGACATTTTTGTAATTGTTTTGTGATAACATGATTGTTTCACACTTGTATTCACGGACTCCCGTGGGCACATTTCCAAAAGCTGAGCGTGAAGTTTTACCAGTTTGAGAGCAAACAGGATATCATATTTCTTTGACTTGAATGTTTTTAGGAATAAAGATAACAAATATGATTTCACAGAAGGAAAAAAGAGGTTTTTTTTTGAAGCTTCAAATTAAATATATCCTCAAACTCAACATTAAAAAGTTAACTAAGTTCAACTTCAGAATGCTCTTGCTGCTTGTGTTTTCAGAAATGTAAGATTCCTACTTCATTTCATTCTATTAAGTATGTTGATTTAGATTTTAATGTGGACCACATACACTCCTCGCTTGTATGATTGTGGCTTTAGTTTCTGGAACTATGAGATGGAAAATACAATGCAGCCTGCTGCAAGGGGTCATTGACTATGGATCTTAGCACAAAGCTTGCTTGGCAAACGTTAGGCATCACAACCATTGCTTACATCTCAGGCATATATTCTAACATATACATCTGTGTCACACACACACTTTATTTTTAATATGTAATTTAGAGTCACAATAAGCAAGCCCCCACAACATCTTCAAACTCTGAGTAGTTGGGAAGTATTAAGTCATGAAAGTTTTTTAAAAATGTTTTTTAGAGTTTATTTATTTTATTTTTTATGTGTATGAATGTTTTGTTTGCATGTATGTCTGTACACCATGAACACTGCTGGTGCCTGCAGAGGTCAGAAGAGGGCATCAGATTCCCCTGGAACTGGAGTTATGGACATTAGTTGTGAGCTGCTATGTGGGTGCTGGAATGGAATCCTGGGCCTCAGCAAGAACAGGTGCTCTTAACCTCTGAGTCATCTCTAGCTGCAAGCAATGAGAAATTTTAAAAAGAATTTTGTAGTTCTTAATAAATTTTAGTCATGCCAAGTGGTGGTGGCACACGTCTTTAATCCCAGCACTGGGAGGCAGAGGCAGGCGATCTCTGTGAGTTCAAGGCCGGCCTGGGCTACAGAGTGAGTTCCAGGAAGGGCATAATGCAACACAGAGAAACTCTGTCTCAAAAAACCAAATAAATAAATAAGTAAAAATAAAAGAAAAAGAAGTTTTTAGTCCCAAGACAGGGCAATGTGAATGTCAGCATCTTGATATTCTGAATTGACCATAGAGCCTCATAAAAATCTCTTTAAGCCGGGCGTTGGTGGCGCACGCCTTTAATCCCAGCACTCGGGAGGCAGAGCCAGGCGGATCTCTGTGAGTTCGAGGCCAGCCTGGGCTACCAAGTGAGTTCCAGGAAAGGCGCAAAGCCACACAGAGAAACCCTGTCTCGAAAAACAAAAAAAAAAAAAAAAAAAAAAAAAAAATCTCTTTAAATAGCTCATTATCAGACTCAGAAAGACACAGATATATTTGACTTCCTTGTGTTTCTGAAGTTTGTATTTTCTTTTTTTAAAATTTATTTTTATTTATGTGTAGATGTGTGTATCTGTGTGTACTACATGAGTGTGGGTACCCATAGAGGTCAAAGAAAGATATCAGATACCTGAGAGCTGGAGTTCCAGGCTGTTTGTGAGCTGCCCGAGCTGGGTGCTGGTAACTGGTCTCAGTTCTTCTGGAAGAGCAGCAAGTGCTCTTAACCACTGAGCTCTCCTTTCAGCTCCCAAGTTGCTGTTTTAAAAGGAATGGCTCAGAGGTTAAGAGCACTGGTTGTTCTTCCAAAGGACCCAGGTTTGATTCCCAGCATCCACATCATCTTCTGTAAGTCTAGTTCCACAGGATCCAATGCCCTCTTCTGGCCTCTATGGGTATCAAGCATGTACATGGTACACAGACATACATGTAGACCAAACACTCATACACATAAAGAGGCACTCAAAAAGGCTTGCAGTAATGAAAATTTTATTTGGACTGTATAACATTCAGGGGAGAGAGGTGTCCCTTTAAAAAATCATATTCACTAATACTTAATACTGAGGGTAATATTATGATCTTGTTTATTCTTTAATCAGAGTTGTATATTGTACCACATTTTGTGGGTGTAAGATGGAATTCAGGAAAAGCGTTCAGAAAAAAATGCCATGTTTGGTAGAGCTTGCTCAGGATACAGGAAGCTCTGCCCTCTGTTCCAGCACTGGGTAAGACTGGATGTGGTGAGGGATGCTTGCAACCCATGTGCTCTGCTATATAATAAGTTTGAGGCCAACCAAGGAAAAATGAGACCTTCTTTCTTAAACAAAGAAGCCCTAAGTATAGCTCAGTGGTCAAGTACTTGCATGTGTGCCCCTGGGCTCAATACATAGAACTGAACTGTAATAAATAAGGAAGGAAGTAATAAGCATTCAGAGGGAAAGAAGGAAGGGGCTTGGAAAGACGGCTCGGTGGTTAAGAGCATTGGCTGCTCTTACCGAGGCCCCAGGTTCAATGACCAGTGCTGACTGGTCATTGTCATTCCCAACCATCTGTAAGTTCAGTTCCAGGGGATCCAATGCCCCCTTCTGGCCTCTTTGGGTATCAGTCACACACTTGGTGAACAGACATATATTCAGGCAAAACACCTACACATGTAACTTTTTTTAAAGGAAGGGAGGGGGGGGGGGGGGGAGAGAGAAATAGAGAGAGGGAGAGAGAAAGGCAGGGAGGGAGGGAGAGGAGGGAGCCAGAGAGAGAGGACTGGATGATGACAGTAAGCTTATATCGTACCTTGGCAGTCTGGGGTCCTTGACTGGAGGGAGCTGTGTAGCCAGCCAGCCCTTGCTGTAGGCTTGGGATATGGCTCAGTGGTCAAGCGCTTGCCCAGCAGCGCAGAAAACACAACAATAACAACAAAACCCATGCAGTACAAACAGTTGATGAATGAACCAAACTTGGGGCTGATTACTTTCGAACTCCTTTGAGAACTGGCCCATATTTCACGAAAACCTGATTTTATTTGGCTGCAATACCGAACTTCCTTCTATTGTTCTCCACAGTGGGATCCTGAGTTTAATGGGACTGCGGGTTCCTGCCGGGGTTTGCCGCAGGGATCCACCCTGTCCCCGCGCCTTGTTTATTCTCATGCACTTACAAGGCATGGTCACTTGGGGTCACTGCACTAAGAAAGTGGAAGCTGGAGGCTCACCCTTGGGACTGGCTTTCTGGAATCATCTAGAAGCCAGTTGGAACACTTAATTTATTAGGGTTTTGTTACAGTTCTATAATCACATAACTTTAAGACACAACTGAATGAACATAAAGATCATGAGTCTATTAAAGGGTTCTCCACTGCAGGAAGGGGTTTTCAGTAGGAATCCACCTACTCTCATGGAACAGGTTTTTACAGCATTCAGCTTCCTGGACATACCTGCATCTGAATCACCCACGTAACAAATGTGAGTACATGCAAGACCCTGCCTGGGCAGTGAGTGCCGTCCTGGGTCTGCTTTAGGAGCATTGTCCAGAAGTGGGGCTAGATGCCTTGGTTTGTTTACCACCATGGTATGTGCCTCAGGGATAGGCACTGACCCCATGGGCAGGAAGGGATGTGTGCCTTCCTAATACTAGATCCAAAGGGCCTGCTGAAGTGGTTCTGGAACTGTGAGGCTAAGACACATATATTCCGTTTTCCTCTTCTACAACAGGAAATAGATTTTACAGGGTTTCCACTGACTGCTTTTAGAAATAACAAGGCACATGATCTGGGAGCCCTGATGCACAGCCATGTTATTGTAGCAGTGGTTAGAAAAAAAGAACAATTATGGCTTGCTTTTTATTTTTAATCAAAGAGGATGTTAAAATTGTTGTCCTATACAGCTTACTGACAAATGTCTGGTAATTTTAGTCTCCAGTGCCAGTGTTGATAGAGCTCTAAGCTAAACATTATACATATATTATCTCTAATACACACACAGTTTGATACACGAGGGACTCTTATTGTGCCTAATCCCCACTTGAAGAAATCCAGGCTTAGACAAGTTAAGAAGTCCATGAAGTCTAACATCTAGTAAGAGGTGACTTGGAATTTGACCCCAAGCAGTTAAAGTGCTCAACTAGGTCACCTGCTTCCTGAAGTCTCCTCCTAAAGGCAATGTCTTTAAGAGCCTTTCTCAAGCCAGAGACAAGTGGTTAAAGTGTAACTTTATTTTTATTCTTTTTTTGTTTTGTTTTGTTTTTTGTTTTTTGAGACAAGGTTTCTCTGTGTAGTTTTGGTACCTGTCCTGGATCTCCCGTTGTAGACCAGGCTGGCCTCGAACTCACAGAGATCCACCTGGCTCTGCCTCCTGAGTGCTGGGATTAAAGGCATGCACCACAGTGTAGTTTTTAATGACTACAGGTTTTCCAAGTTAAATCTGTACTTTGCTGGTTAATTTCATGCTGGACGAAGAATGAAATCCCACTGTGACCGTCTTCCTGGTATATCTTCTTGCTTATCTTTCCCCTCCCTGAGGAGAGATTTTTGGGTGGCTCTCTGGCAGTTACTATCCATTGCTCAAACAACTCGGTATGTGAAATCGGCCCGTGTGCCCTCCCATCTGCATCCCCCTCCTCAGAGCAGACTGACGAAACCATTCACCCCTGAGACAGGCTCCCCTCGCTTTTCTTGTGTTCGTTCTACTTCCCTG